CACTGCCTGTCTTCCCCTTCTCGCACGAGTTGATGCCAGCGTTGTAGCTAAGATATTGGGCTCCAGCTACGCCCCCCACTTCTCGCACGAAACTTGCCCAGAGCTCTCGACTAAATTGGGCTCCAGCTTCACCCCCCGCTTCCCGCAAGAGGCTTCTCACAGAGCTCCCGCCGATACTGGGCTCTAACTTCGCCCCCCACTTCTCGCAAGAGGTTGGCCCTGAGCTCTCGACACTAGTGGGCTCCAGCTTCGCCCCCCGCTTCTCGCAAGAGGCTTGCCACAGAGTGCCCGACAATATTGGGCTCCAGCTTCGCCCCCCGCTTCTCGCAAGGTGCTTCCACTGACTCCCAGCCCTTCCGCACGCGAGCTGATGCCCGCACGCTTTCTCGCAAGGAAAGATACCGGCGTTGTAGCTGATGGCCCTCCCCTGCGTTCGCCGTGCCACAGTGCCAGAAGCTGCCACTGGTCGCCTTTTCGCAAGAGCCCACACCTGCTTTGTAGCTGGCTTCCCGCTCCCGCGTTCGCCCGTCGCGCCATGCTGGATGAGAGCACTGCGCTTCTTCTCGCAAGAGCTGGTACCAACATTGTAGCTGGGCACCCCGCTCCCACGTTCGCCCTTCTCGCAATGCCGGGTGAGTGCACTGCGCGCCTTGTCGCAAGAGCTGATACCAACATTGTAGCTGATGGCTCCGCTCCCACGTTCGCCCTTCTCGCAATGCCGGGTGAGAGCACTGCGCCCCTTCTCGCATGAGCTGATACCAACATTGTAGCTGATGACCCCGCTCCCACGTTCGCCCTTCTCGCAATGCCGGGTGAGAGCACTGCGCCCCTTCTCGCATGAACTGATACCAACACTGTAGCTGATGACCCTCTCCTGCGGATGCCTTGGTTCTGGTCTCACATCCGTCTCGCGGAGCACAGCCAGAGCCTGATGCCACTGCTGGTCCTTCTCGCACGCGTCGATACCAACGCTGTAGTTAAGGACGTCTGGTTCCAGTCTCACATCCGTCTCGCGGAGCACAGCCAGAGCCTGCTGCCACTTCCCGCCGTTCTCGCACGCGCCGGCTGTAGCGCTGGAGTGAACGACGTCGGGCACCAGCTTCACCTCCGCCTCACGGAGCCCAGCCAGAGCCTGCTGCCACTGCCCACCCTTCTCACACGCGCTTCTTTCGGCGCTGTAGCTGAGGACGGCGGGCTGTATCCCTACTCTCTCCCGCTCGCGGAGTCGGGCCAGAGTCTGCTGCAACTTCTCGCACTTCTCGCACATGCTGATTCCAGCGTTGTGGCTGAGGAAGGCGTCGGGCCCCTGCGATTCTTGGGCTGTGCGCTGTAAGGCATCACCCTTGCTTGCCAAGAGGAGGAGGAGGGGAAGGGGGAAACGGACGGGGAGAGGGCGAAAGGAAGGGGGGGCATCTTGGCGACCCCGCATGCGCCTATTCGCGGCGCCGCCACTGCGGGCGACGGCGTTTATTGATGGCACCATGCTTCTTTACGGCTCCCCGAAGCATCGCCGCTCCGAAGTTGGCGACGGGAACGCCCAGGCGGTCCACGCAGGGACGGGCCGCTCGGGCACGGAACGGCTGAGGAGGAGGAGGAGGAGGAGGAGGAGGAGGAGGAGGAGGAGGAGGAGGAGGAGGAGGAGGAGAGGGGAGGAGGAGGAGGAGGAGGAGGAGGAGGAGGAGGAGGAGGAGGAGGAGGAGGAGGAGGGGGGGAAGGGGAGGGGGGACAGGAGGATGGGGAAGAGGAGGAGGAGGAGGAGGCGGAGGATGTGGAGCAGGAGGGGGAAGAGGGAGGATGAGGAGGGGGCAGAGGATGATCATGGTGATGATGATGATGCCGATGATGATGCTGAGGATGCTGATGCTGTTACTGTTGATATTGATGATGATGATGATGCTGCTGCTGATGATGATGGTGATGGTGATGATGATGATGATGGTGGTGGTGACGCCGCGGATGATGATGATGATGGCGATGATGATGATGGTGATGATGATGATGATGATGCGAATGATGATGATGATGTTGTCGATGATGTTGCTGATGATGATGATGCGGATGACGATGATTATGACGATGGTGGTAATGCTGATGGTGATGATGATACATATGAGGATGATGCTGATCATGGTGATGACGATGCTGATGATGCTGATGCTGTTGATGATGATGATGCTGATGATGCTGACGCTGACGATGATGGTGATGATGATGCTGTTGATGCTGGTGGTGATGTTGATGATGGTGCTGATGACGATGACGAGGATGGTGATGATGATTGTGAACGTGATGATGATGATGAGGAGGAGGATGATGATGCCGATGATGATGATGCTGATGATGATGATGATGATGCTGGTGATGGTGGTGGTGGTGGTGACGATGATGATGAGGATAATGATGATGGTGGTGATGGTGATGATGATTAGGATGACGACGATGATGATGATGATGGTGGTGGTGGGTGGTGGTTGTGGTGATGATGATGATGAGGATGATGATGACGATGATGATGATGATGATGATGATGATGATGATGATGATGATGATGATGATGATGATGATGATGATGATGATGTGGGTGGTGGTGGTGGTGGTGGTGACCGGTGATGCTGATGATGAGGAAAAGAGGAGGAGGAGGGGAGGAGGAGGAGGAGGAGGAGGAGGAAGAGGAGGAGGAGGAGGAGGAGGAGAGAACGGACGAGGAGGGGGGAGAGGAGGAGGAAGAGGAGGGGGGGGACGAGGAGGCGATGAGGAGAGGAGGAGGATAGAAGTGTAAGGTAAGGAGATAAGGAAGGAGAAGAGAGAAGGAGAGAAAAAAAGGGAGAAGGAGAGGAGGACAGATGGAGAGAGGAGAGAAGGAGGAGGAGGAGAAGAGGTAGGAGGAGAGGAGAGGAGGAGGGGGAGGGGGAGGGGGAAGAGGAGGGAAGGGGAAGAGGAGGAGGAGGATGTGGAGGCGTAGGAGGAGGAAGAGGAAGAGGAGGAGTGGACAGGGGATGATGCTGATGGTGATGATGTTGCTGATAATGATGGATGAATCAGATGATGATGCTGATGATGATGATGCTGGGGGTGATGATGATGCGGAGTATGATGAGGAGGAGGAGATCGAGGAGGAGGAGGACGAGGAGGAGGAAGAGGAGGAGGAG